CCAATCAGAGCAATTTGACATACAGACCATCCCACAGCACCTCCATGCTCACCTGGGTCCACTCTCTTCCATCAGACAAGGGAGACCTAACAGCCACATGCTCAGAACCCCAGGATGCTTACTAATGATGCGTTATTGAACCTCGGATTTTCACTCTTAAAAAATTATAACATTTAGTTAAGCATGGTGGTGCACACTTGTAATCCTCACATTTAGGGTGGGGTGGAATTGAGAGGATCAGGGGTACAAGGCCAGCCTCAGCTACATTGTTGAGTTTGAGGCCAAAATGAGATATGTGAGCCTCTATCTCAATCTCATGTATGTATGTATATGTATGTATGTATGTATGTATGTATGTATGTATGCATGCATACATGTACCTATGCTGGGCACAGTGGCACATTTGTAATGCCATCACTTAGGAGACTGAGGAAAGAGGTCAACTTGGGCTACCCAATGAAACCTTGTCTAAAAAGTAAAGAATGAATAATCTTTACCATGTGGGGTTGACATGGCTCCTTAAGACTTCCTACAGTATTGGGCTGCTTCTAAGAATGGTAACTGACCTCTTGGCTTCTTTTGCTCCAGATACTGTATGGAGTTCAGGACAGAGTCCCTGACTCCTCATTGTGCCCTGGACAACCGTCCCCTGACTCGATGGATGCAGTATCTCCGAGAGGGATACACAGTGTGTGTGGACTGTCAGCCTCCGGCCATGAATTCCGTGAGCCTGCGTTGTTCCGGAGACGGCCTGGATTCTGATGGGTAAGGAAGGGCCACTGACCAAAGGGCTTTTCTGCTCACCCTGAGGATCCGTCCTCTGTGTCCTGAAGAGCTGAGCAGTATGAGCATTTCAACGCAGGGCAGGATGTGAGCAGTGAGGAGAAACTATCCAGGGACCCCCATCCAGGGCTTTGGTTCCCACTATGGGACTCAGAAGCTCTCTGGAACAGAAGTACATAGGCCAGCTTGGTTATTGGGGTTCGTTTGAGATGAAGCTCCCCAAAGACTACCAAAACTCTGGTCACTCTAAAGTACTATAGACGACTTGACTCTGAATCTCTTGGATTGGAGAATTAGAATATGTACATATTCTTGGTCCCACTACTTAGGACCTGATGAACCAGAGTTTTAGTAATCCCAGAGGTCTGGACCTAAAACTTGTCCTATAAAATGTCAGAAAGCAGTTATTTTTGGCTTTTCATCAAATACATCTTTTCTCATAACTACTGTACTCTGGCATTGGTCATGAAAGCAGCCATTGATACTATTTAAAGCTTGGCTTTGTTCTAATAAAACTTTATGTGTGAACCCCGGAATTTAAGTTTTGGATGATTTTCATGTGTCATGAAATATTACTCTTTTGTTTTTTCCTTAACTCTTTGTGGCTGTTTGAAATAGAGTCCCACTCTAGCTAAGGATAGCCTGGAACCCACTACACAGGTCACGGTGGCCTGGAACTCATGGCAGTCCTCCAGAATCAGCCTCCAAAATATTGGGATTGCAAACATAGATTACCATACTTGGCTTCTTTTCATTCTTAAAAACAGGATTTGTGGCCGGAGAGACAGCTCAGTGGCTAAGGGTTCGTCCTGCTTTCCCAGAGGACCCGAGTTCAGTCCTCAGCACGCCGGCTGGGGAGCTCACTGCTGCTGCGAACCGCAGCTCGGCTTTTTTGGGTTCCCGAAAGACTCACACACATATGCACATAATTAAAAATGGATAAAATCTTTAAAAAAATAACATTCATCCTTAACTCACAAGTCCCATTAAAAAAGATGGAGTCCGAAGATAAGGGGTCATAGTGTGCTGGTCCTGCCAGGTGAGTCGAACCCCAGTAATGTTTCCGATCCACTGTGCCTGAGGAGGGTTTTCTGCGAACAGTGACTGCAGACATTGTGTCTCCCGAAAACCTCTCCTGGTCCTGCACTCACTTTCAGTTAGACCCACTAAACGCCTTTTATAGCTAGAAAAAAAGGAATCACTGAAGACGCCATGGATAAGAACCAATTTAGTCACACCATAATGGTTTCCAGCATGTCAGGTGTAATTGGTAAAAATAGATTAAAAGTAAAATTCTGACCTTTCCAGTTAATCATTCATTATTCCCATCATGTTTTAATATTTAATAATTCGGTTCGTGTTTATTAGTCACTTGTGCCTAGCGGTCTCTATTGAGCTCACCATATGAGCAATAAAGTGGGTAAGGAATTCATATCAAATGAAACCTAATATTTGGATGTAATGTTTTTCTGAATACCTCATCTCTATTTTGACTTTAAATGAATTTATAATTCAATTTGTACCCAATAAAGAGAGCACTTAAACCCTGGTTACTATATGAGTGACTTAATGAATAATATTTTTAATTCTCTGGCTTTGTTTTCTATACTTTTTACATTTTTCATTATGAAATCAAAGAGTTGGAATAGGACGAAAGTGGTCATTTGGCTAGGCCCTCCTAGCTTAACCATGCACAGAACACCATTGTCTGTGTGCAGCACCTACGGTCACCTGGGAGAAATGGACAAGGAAACCCCAAGCAACTCTCTGAACATGAGTGTCCTCGAATAGGGATTAATCGGCAACTTACATTGGCAGGACCCAAGAAAGTCTTCTCTGTGACTGTAGAAAGGGGGTTGGGGGAGGTGGCTAGAGATGGCTCTGTGGTTAAGAGCACTGGATGCTCTTCCAGAGGGCCCGGGTTCAGTTCCCAGCACCCACATGGCAGCTCACAACCATCTGTAAACCCAGTCCCAGGGGATCCAATACCTACAAGCATATACTCATACACATAAAATTTTAAAAAAAGAATAAACAATTTTAAATAACTGATTTGTAATATATTTTGAAGCTGTGTGATTACTCTCTATCTTAGTTATGGTTTCTATTGCTGTGATACAACACTAGGGTCAAGAGCAATTCGGGAAGTAAAGGGTTATTTAACCTTATGGTCTATAGTCTTTCACTGAGGGAAGTCAGGGCAGGAACTGGAGCAGAGGCCATGGAAGAATGCTGCTTGTTTGTTTGCTCCCCATGGCTTGCTTAGCCTTTCTTACAGCATCCAGGACCACCAGCCTAGGGATGGCATGGCCCACAGTGAGCTGGCCCCTGTCACATCAAGCATCAATTTAAAAAAATGTACCACAGGCTTGCCCACTGGCTAGTCTGGTGGGGTCAGTTTCTCAATTGAGGTTCCCTCTTCCTGAATGGCTCTAGCTTGTATCAGATTGATATAACACTAGCTAGCACATTGTCTTTAAAAACATCAACAAAAGCACATTAGGGCTGGAGAGGTGGCTCATCCGTTAAGAGCACTTGTTGCTCTTGCAGAGGACCTGGATTCAGTTCCCAGCACCCACATAGAGGCTAACAACCCAGCTCCAGGGGATCAAGTGCCCTCTTCTGGCCCCTGTGGTCACTAGGCATGCATACACTCACATATGTGAGGGCAAAACAATCATACACACAAATTAAAAACACATAGATCTTTTTTAAAAGTTGTAACCGTGTAGATTAGAATTTCCTTTGGTTTGCTTTTAGTATAACCCACGTTTCTATAATATCATTTCAGAAATCAGACTCTTCGCTGGCAAGCCATTGGCAATCCTCGATGCCAAGGGACCTGGAAGAAAGTGCGGCGGGTCGAGCAGTGTTCCTGTCCAGAAGTGCACCGCTTCATCTTTATATAGAGCATCTTGGGGTCACTTGGCAGGGTGCTTGCCAGTGGGTTGGGTATTATTAAGCCGAGTTCAACACTTCAGAAGCCTCCAAAAACTATGCCAAGTTCCCGAGCACTCTCCATTGTTTTTGAGAAAGAAAACTTAGGGATAGTTCTCAAGGATCACAATCTCTTTGTTTTTATTTTTACTGAGCTAAGGACCCACACTCAAAGCTCCTATGGCTATGACCTTGACCTTACCTCTGGCCACAGAGTACATGTCTGTTTGTACTAGAATCACTGCCATGGGCTCCAGTTTGGGGTAAGTTTTTGTCTAAGGGCATCTACGTATTCTTTGTCTTTATTGGTTTTTTGTTTTGTTGTTTTAAATTAAAGACAAGGTCTCACTATGTAGACCAGGCTGGCCTCTAATTCATAGATACTCAACTGCCTCTGCCTCATGAATGCTGGGACTGAAGGAGTGTGCCACGATGCTAGGCTATTCTTTGTCTCTATTCTTTTTTTGGAGGGGGCAGGGGTGTGCAGGGTTTCTGTATACCCCTTGCTGTCCTGGAACTCACACTGTAGAGCAAGGTGGCATCGAATTCAGAGATCCATCTGTGTCTGCCTCCCCAATGCTAGGATAAAAGACATGTGCTATACCTATTCTTAAAAGTTTCTCACTTTAAAAAAATACACATACGTGACTCTCACACGTAAAGCTCCTATATATTACCTTACAAGTTATAAACTAATTTCAAGTAAATTGTCACAAATAATTTTTCATAGGGAAAGTTATTAAAATTTCATTTGGTGTTTTGTGATGAAAAGCCAACACCTTTGCTAAAAACATTTTTAAAGAAGAAATTTTCTTTGGTTAGTTGAAAAGATTAAATATCCATGCTAAGTCAATAGAAATTACTAAAGTGTTACAATTTTCCTGAGATTTGGCACCAATGAATGAGCCAAATGCTTTAGTTCTAAGCACTCTCTCATCATTCATAGCTAAGATTGTTTCCAACGTTTGGTACCTGATGCAGGATCAAACAATCTTGTAATGTCTGACTTCACATTTAGTTGAAGTGTACTTACTAATTTTCTTTCTACAGCACATGTTTAGGGTGAGACACAGAGGTACATATGATAGGAGGCATGGATCTTCCTGCAAGTGTCATGATCTCATACACAGGCAATAAAATATTAGCTTTACCTTATGATTGGAAGATAGGTGTTTGTACCCACATGGCATGGTGTGCTTTCAGGTGTAGGATGGCAAGCTGTCCTGTAGTCATCTGTGGAGCCTCGTCCAGGTTCCTCATCCCGGACTCTACTTCGGTAAAGGTCATCCTGAGTATGCCCAAGACTCCAGTACAGGACCTCAGCCTGGTTTCATTTTGAAGTGGGTTTCCAACTGAGGATTATTTTCTTTGAAGAACCGAATCAATATTAAAAAGCTATAATTCCTTTGGTCTGGATTGAATTGCATAATTCTAACTAACATGGTTGACTAAAATATGTATTTTTGGGTACTGGTCATGTAACAACAGAAGGCCAACAGCAAGCTTAAAAGGGTGGCAACTGTCTCCAATGCTATTTGTGATTATATTTCCATTTAACTGCTAAGGTTGTTTTTGTGGAAAATTAATAAAAAACAACTTCAGTTTTGGGGCTGGAGAGATGGCTCAGCAGTTAAGCGTGTGCTCGGTACTCTTGCAGAGGACTGGAGTTTGGTTCTCAGCACCCATGGAGGGTGGCTCATAACAACCTGCAGCTCCAGGGTGTTTGGTTGGACACTCTGAGGCATAAGTAACCAGTTAAGTGTGGTGAAAGAGACATGCAGCTTTGGGTCTAGGGGAGAAATACAGCTTACTTCTCTTCCTTCCCAAATAAACTATGCAGATAACACAGGTGAGGAGTCGGGGGGCAGCCTCAACTCAGTAACTTTGAATGTATCTCCCACCCCCCCGCCCCCGAGACAAGGTCTCATGTAACTCAGACCGGCCTGGAACCCACTATTTAGTTGAGGGCAGCCTTGAACTTCTGATTCCTCCCCAACATCCCCCAGGCGCTAGCATTACAGGTGTGCATCCTCACTCTAGTTTTTGGTACTGAGCATTGAACCTAGGACACTATGGATGCTAAGAAAGCCCCCTAGCCAACTAGGACACACGTTTTTAAGATTGGAAGAAAATGAGATTTTACTGATGGATACACAAGAGCTGGATGAGGTAGAAGGAACTTCATTTTATATCATTTAGAGAAGATGGAATCAGCAGTAAGAACCTTTCTCCCGAAAGGCAGGAGGACCCTCACAGTGCAGGGTGACTTTTTGAAGATCCCCTGTTTGCTGAGCAAAAACTAGGGCCCCTAGAGAGGAGCAAAGATCCTTGAGGAGGCTGAGACTCTCTTCAGCATCAGTAGGTGCATTACACCAGACACAGAACGATGTCTGGGATAACAAAACACAAAAGAATCCAAACTATTCTAGACAGAGAAATCTGGTTCATATGTATAGGACCAGTAATTAGAACAGTGTATGACAATTTATAATGCAACATTTGAAGCTAAAAGACAAGAGTGATACCTTTGAAATTCGAAAAGGAAATTTTTTCAAAATAAAATTCTATATCCAATAAAATTACTCACCACATACAAGGGATTTTTTAGACATGTAAAGCATGAAAATTTCTACTCTATGCCCCTTTTCTGGGAGGACATCAGAGGGGTGCTCAACCTAAACTGGAGTGGAGTGTAAACCAAGCAGGACCCCCCAGAGACTAGGAAACAGGCCCAGGAAAGACAAGTGGGATTCTCAGGGTAGAGGGACAGCCCAGGCCAGGCTAGCCACACGACTTCCTGCAGGCAGGACCAGAAGGCAGTGTGGTGACAGAATGTCCGTCACACGGTGACAGGCTTGGAGACTTTCAGTTCGGTTAGAGGAACTGGGCTTATGGAGATTACAGACCCACAGAAACTATAAAGCTCAGGTGTAAACAACAGCCATGGAGTTATAATGAGATAAACATTACATCATTATACAAAACGATGAAAAAATCGAGACTAGTCATTTAGCATGAGGATGACACGTTCTTGACATCCACAGGTACAGTGAGGAGTGGAGGTGTTGCAAGTGTGTGTGGGGCTGGAGTATAGACAGGTGTAAGTGTGG